CTCTCTCTCTCTCTCTCTCTCTCTCTCTCTCTCTCTCTCTCTCTCTCTTTCTAGACATTACATAGTTGTCTTCTTCCACATCTTTGTCAAGACTGCAGTTCTCTGGGTCTCTTTCATTCAGTTAAACCAGGTGGCAAATAATATCACCTTTTGAGTTCTAACAACTATCATAAAAGGAAAGAAACCTCAGGTTATAAACTGGTGTTTTTCAGTTTTCAGTTTTTCACCTCTTAGATACAGAAGCCTCCTTCCATTTCTTGTCAGCACTTGTGCACTTTTTGGGTCTTTCACATCTAAGAAACCCAGTTGAAAAGCTTCTACCTTTTGACCAGTTTCTAGGTCTTCCTCTCCAAAACTCTCTTATCATTTATTGGCTACAATTCAAGTCCCGGAACCCCGTGAAAACCACCCCCTATGAAAATTCTTTGGTGTGCTCTCTCTCTTGCTTTTCCTTCATCCATGCAAGTTCAGTGAATCCAGATGAAGAATCCTACATTTTAACCAGTTTTCTCTCTCCTCTCTGTAGAACTCTCATTTCCTACTTCAACTCCTCATTCAGGACTCATGGCATTTTCTTGGGCCTCCCCAATCCAAGAATGAAGAAACCCAGGTGAGAAATCCCATCTCTCAACCATTTTCTCTCTCCTCTCTCTAGATGTCCATTCAAATTAAGGAATGCAGATGAGAAAACCCATCTCTCCCCTCTCTCTAGAACTCCATTAACCAAGAAGTCTCAATACTTCTTGCATGAGACCTTCAGAGTGAAAGCAACAGTGCAAGATGAAAACTTCTACACTTTCTCCACTCTCTCTCTTTAAAACTCTCCTCCCCCTCCTCTTCTTCTTCTCTCTCTATCCCACTCTCTCCCACTCTCTCTCCTCTGATGGAAAAGCCCTTCTCTCTCTTCTTGCAAGCTCAAGCCAAATGTCAGACTCCATTCTTAGAAGCTGGAACCCATCTCAAGAGACCCCATGTTCATGGCAGGGCATAAGTTGCTCTGAAGATAACAGAGTAACCTCCATTGACCTCCCTTCAATATTTCTCAACACCTCAATCCCACCTCAACTCTCTTCGCTCTCTAACCTCAAACTCCTCAATCTCTCTCTAACCAATCTCACCGGTTTCATTCCCCCTGAGCTTGGCCTCCTAACCCAACTCCAACTCCTTGATCTCAGCTCCAATAACCTTATAGGCCACATTCCCCCACAATTAGGCCAACTCAAATCACTGCAAATTCTCTATCTAAACTCTAACAAACTCCAAGGAAGAATCCCACCTCAAATAGGAAGGTGCTCGAGCCTTCGAATCCTATGCCTTCAAGATAATGAGATCAATGGTTCGATCCCAGCTGAATTGGGCGACTTGCAGAGTCTTGAACAGTTTCGAATTGGTGGGAATCCAGAAATTTCGGGTTTGATACCCCCTGAGCTTGGGCGATGGAGGAATTTAACCACTTTCGGGGCCGCTCAAACTGGGCTTTCGGGCCCAATTCCATCTACTTTTGGTGGTTTAATAAGCTTACAAACACTGGCTTTGTATGGGACTGAGATTTCAGGCCAAATCCCATCTGAGATAGGTGAGTGCACTGAACTTAGAAACTTGTATCTTCATATGAATCAGATTAACGGAGTTATACCACCTGAACTTGGAAAATTGAAGCAATTAACCAGCATTTTATTATGGGATAATTTTCTCGAAGGCCCGATTCCTGCTTCTCTCTCGAATTGTTCTTCATTGGTTGTTCTTGATCTTTCTGCAAATAAGCTAAGTGGGGAGATTCCAGTAGAGTTTGGTGCTCTGAATTCGCTAGAGCAACTTCATCTCTCTGATAACTTCTTGAGTGGTACAATCCCATGGCAGCTAAGTAATTGCTCGAGCTTGACTGCTCTTCAATTGGATAAAAACCAGTTCACTGGGTCGATTCCTTCCGAAATTGGGAATTTGAAGTACTTGCAGAGCTTGTTCCTGTGGGGTAACTCCATTACTGGTACGATACCTTCCTCTTTGGGAAGCTGCACCAATCTTTATGCATTAGACCTCTCGAAGAATAAGCTTACTGGTTCTATACCAGAAGAGATTTTTAGATTGAAGAAGTTGAGCAAGCTTTTGTTGCTCACTAATTCTCTATCTGGGGTGTTGCCAAAAGTGGTGAAAAATTGCCAAAGCTTGATTAGATTGAGATTGGGTGAGAACCAGTTATCTGGTGAAATACCAGTTGAGCTAGGCCAGTTACCAAATTTGGTATTTTTGGATCTTTATACCAACCATTTTTCAGGTGGTTTACCTTCTGAGCTAGCAAATAGCACTTCTCTGCAACTTCTAGATGTTCATAACAATCATCTCAGTGGAGAAATCCCACCTGAATTAGGGAATTTGCAGAATTTAGAGCAACTTGATTTGAGTCACAACAGCTTTCATGGTGAAATACCTCCCACTTTTGGAAACCTTAAAGTCCTAAACAAGCTTATCCTCAACAACAATCTGCTTACTGGGCCGATACCACCAACTGTGAAGAGTTGTGAAAAGCTAACTCTCTTGGATTTGAGCTCTAACAGTCTATCAGGTACCATACCACCTGAACTTGGGTCTATAACAAGCTTAACCATAAGCTTGGACCTGAGCTTTAATGGCTTCTCAGGTGAACTCCCACAAGAAATCTCAGGCTTGACACAGTTACAATCACTAGATCTATCTCATAATTCTCTCCATGGAAGCATCGAACCCCTCGGAAAACTGACAAGTTTAACCTCTCTCAACCTCTCCTTCAATAATTTCTCGGGCCCAATTCCATTTACCCCATTTTTCCGAACTCTCACTCTGAATTCATATTTAGAAAACCCGGGATTATGCGAATCCCTCGATGGGGAGACCTGCAGCTCTGATCAAATTCATGGATCTCGATTAAGATCAGCAAAAATTGCAGCGCTAATCTGTATTTTGATCGGTTGCATACTGATCTCTGGTTTTTCAGGGTGGGTTTTCATCGCCAAGCATAGAAATTCAGTATCGAGAAAATTGTCTTCTCAGTCTAATGATTCGTTCTCCGATGATTTCTCATATCCATGGACTTTCATCCCATTTAAGAAGCTCACTTTCACGGTCGATAACATATTGGATAGCATAAAAGAAGCGAATATCATCGGGAAAGGTTGCTCGGGTGTAGTGTACAGAGCCGAGATGCCGGGCGGCGAAGTGATTGCCGTGAAGAAGCTATGGAAATCAAAGAGGGAGAAGGAAGAATTCGGCTCTGAAATCCAAATTCTAGGGAATATAAGGCATAGAAACATAGTCCAACTCCTGGGTTATTGCTCTAATAGAAATGTGAAACTTTTGTTGTATAATTATGTTCCAAATGGGAACTTATTGACATTATTGCAAGAAAGAAAGGACTTGGATTGGGAAACAAGGTATAAAATAGCAGTCGGGGTTGCTCAAGGATTGGCTTATCTTCACCAGGACTGTGTTCCTCCAATTTTACACAGAGATGTGAAGTGTAATAACATTTTGTTGGATTCAAAATTTGAGGCTTATTTGGCTGACTTTGGGCTAGCAAAGCCGATGTGTACTCAGAGCTTTCAGCATGCAACTGCCATGTCCAGAGTTGCAGGGTCTTATGGGTACATTGCTCCAGGTATGTTACCTCTCTGTCCCTCTCATGCTTGCTTCTTCAATCCTCTTGCATCCATTTACAAATGACTGCAATCTTGCTTCGCTAATTTTCTCTCTCGTTATTGCCTCTTCAATGTTTAGCAACCATTTGCAAATAACTGCTTTCTTTCTTCATATTGGTAACCATTTACAAATCATTCCCATTTTGTTTTTCATATTTGAGACTCTTTAAGCCATCTACTCTGTTCATAATGACCTCTCTCTCTCATTGTGGATCTTCTCTATATCTGTAATATTTAAGTTTCGAATCACCGAAGTGCAAATGATAACAAATACGTCCTTTGATAGCAAAAATTTGCAGTAATTTCAAATTTCCTTATAGCTAAGTCCTTCCATTTTTGGCAAAAAATTGCAGAGTATGGATACACTATGAACATAACGGAAAAGAGCGATGTATACAGTTTCGGCGTAGTTCTCCTGGAGCTGCTGACTGGTCGAAGTGCAGTAGAGCCCCATGGTCTCCACATAGTGGAATGGGCTAAGAAACTCATGGCTCAAGGGCTCGAGCACAGGAGCTCAATGCTCGAGCCTCGGCTCAGGGGTTTACCAGATAGCTCGGTTCAGGAAATATTACAGGCTTTAGGCATAGCCATGTTTTGTGTAAGCTCGAGCCCAGCTGACAGGCCCACCATGAAAGAGGTCGTGGCCATTTTAATGGAAGTCAAGAGCCCTCAGGGTGAAGAACCAAGCAAACCTTCGCAGCCACTGATGAAGCCCTCAAATTACGGTTAGAGTTTCTCAGAGCAGGTTCAGGCCCATGAGTAAGGCTTTAAACAGGGAAATGGTGCACGGCCATGAATCTGGAATTGGGTTTCTCAGAGATGTCAAGACCCATGAAATTAAAATTGGGGTTTCTCCGAGATGCTTCAAGCACATGAAATGGGATTAGGGTCTCTCCATAAATGGTTCAGGCCCATGAATTAGGGTTAGGGTTTTCCTTAGAGGTGGGGGGTTTTAGGGCCTGAATACATAAGCAAGGGTGGGGGGCTATAAACTAGGGTTAGGGGTTAGTTACCCTAATAAAGAGAGAAGGGAATTTAGGGTTTGGTTATTGACCCTAAGGAGAAGGAAGAATAGGGTTAGGATTTTCTGGGGTTTGGGTGGGGATGAGGGTGTGATTAAACAAGAACCAGTCCACCATTAGTTTAAAAGGATAAAGTGGTGGATATTTCATTTCTTTTTCTCTACTAGTCTTTGTATTTTTTTTCTCTTCTTATGGCCTTTTAAGAGGAAGTGGTATTTGAGTTGGGGGATGGGGGATAGAAGTGGTTTGAGGTTTTTGTTGGATCTGATGTACAGTGATTTAATGGTCAGATTGTTTTTATGCTTGACCCAATTTCTCTCTCTATGAATCTCCCTATTTCTCTGTTCATATGTGTTCTTATCTTTCTCACTCTTATTGTTATATGTGGCAATGCGCCTGGCCAGCCTAGCCATCGTCCCCATGGAGCCGGCCCAGGCCTAGCCCAGCCCTACATGGCCCGGGGCTAACCCGGGCCAAAAATAAATAAAGAAAACAAAAAAAATAACAATAAAAAAAAGGCCAGACCCGGCCGAATTGGGCTGGTATTAGCCCTAGCTCAGTGTTCAAGCCACAGTTTGTAGCCCAAACCTTACTTCTTAAGGCCTGGCTGCTTGGCTCCTTTGCCAGCCCTACTTGTGGCCAGGCATTTGTGGCCAGGCATTCTTAGTCTTGGTAATAAATATATTTTTTAAATATAATTTGATCTTAATTTTTAGAGAATATATAATCATTAATATGGAGATCATTAATATAAAAATAAAAATTAAAAATAATATTTATATTAAAAAACATTTGGACCGTAACTTACAATTGTTTTTAAATAGACCTATTTGCATCCATCTTGCTTTATACCTCTAGGTTTCTAAATAGACAACCTATTTGCATCCATCTTGCTTTATACCTCTAGACCCATATAGTAAAAATACGATCCAACAATTTTGCTTCTATATTTGACCCAAAATACTTGGATAATCATGCAAGCCAAAGTCACATCCTCTCGGCTAATGCGCCTGCGCCTTTCTTTAAACACTCAAGCCATCAACGTTGTTCGCATAGCATCTTAAAACCTGATAATTTTCGATTTGGATTGTGGGAATAGGTCAAGAGTGAACTAGTTTTGCTAAAGTATTGATCTAGTTCCCCCCCTAAAACACCTTTTTATAAATTTTATGCCTTTTTTAAAGTTTATTTAACGTTTTTATAGGTCCTTTCTAAACCCCCACCTCACAAAGTCGTATTTTAATTTTTATTTTTATTTCATTTATTTTTTAATATTTTTCTTGATCATTGCTTTTGATCAATCCAAACCTAATTCAGATCACTGGTCTAACAATCTTATATGGATTTTTAAGCGAACGGTCTACCCTACCGATCTGTGTTTTAAAACACTAAATTCAACCAAGTTGTCCTATCCAGCCGATAAAACTCAAAAGAATTTTACAAATTCATGGTACCAAAGATGGATGAGATATGCATCATGAGCTTCGGCTACAAAATATGGCCCAAAGGGATGGCTAGGGTCTAGTCTAGTTAACATGGCTAGAGGTCTGGGCTAACACTGCCATAACAGACTTATTTCAGCATGGTCATCTGTTTCACATATTTTTTTTTTAATTCCTTTTAGTATATTAGGCCTGTTCATGGACGGGTCCAGGGCTAGGCCCCCTCTAGCCCAATCATGTTGGATTGAGGCTAAGGCTGGCCCAAACATTTGATATTTGATCAACATTTTTTATTTTTTGGGTGAATCAGTAGAGAAGGCCCTACCATTTGTAGGAATTAAGCCTAGGACATAACATTGCAAATCGTCAAGCGCTAACCAAATAAGCCCCAACTCTTTTCCTATTTTCAACAAATGTTTTCACTAAATTGTTATTGCTATGAGAGAGCAATTATTCCCACCAATGCCTGTACATTTTTTAATTTTATGGTGGCGATATAATCAATCTCTCTCTCTCTCTCAACCATGCTCTCTCTCTTGTTTCAACTCTAAAGATCAAATGACTAGGCCCACCCACCATAAAGATCACAAGACAAATACATTGAACAGATAGAGACTTATCTCCAAGTCCCACACTCCACATGCCTGGGAGACAAAAAGCTCTTATTCCCCGTTTTTACATTTTTCACAAATAGAAACCAACAAATGAAAATAACAATAAAAATAAAAGGCAATAATTGGTATGACCCTCAAAGAATTACAAAAAGAGAGTGGATTGAATCCAAAATGTTGGCTAAAATCAAAGAACTAGTTCTTAAATTTATTAATTTATTTAACTGTTTTATCGTATTTGGCTCTTTATGTTGTGAAGAATGCTTTTGCATGGAGGTCCATGCCTGGTCTGTTACTTTTGTCCATTGGACATAGTGGCCTTAGAGGAGCTGATTTTTTTCTTGGTTCTATGCTTTTTCTTTAGATAAGTAATGGTGGGGAAATTTCATGATGTATTTTCTTTTTATTCATTTATTTAGTTGTTCTTTTATTATATTTGGCTCTTTATGTTGTGCAGACTGCTTTTCATGGAGGTCCATGGTTGGTCTATTGCTTTTGTCCATTGGACATTGTGGCCTTAAAGAAACTGGTTTTTTTCTTGGTTCTATCTTTTTTCTTTAGATAAGTAATGGTGGGGAAATTTCAAAATGTATTTTATTTTTATTCATTTATTTAGTTGTTGTTTTATTATATTTGGCTCACTATGTTGTGTAGAGTGCTTTTGAGGGAGGTCCATGCCTGGTCTGTTACGTTTGTCCATTGGACGTGGTGGCCTCAGAGAAGCTGGTTTTTTTTTAGTTCTCTCTTTTTTTCTTTGGACAAGTAATGGTCATGAAATATCAAAATTTATTCTCTCTCTCCAAAGGTATTTATTTTTATGGACTCCCTCTCCCCCTTTCCAATGGATATATTTGATCTCTTATTCACAGAGGTCATACTGTCATCATATATTTTCCCGGATATATATTAAAATTTGCAACCTAAGCACACAAAGGGAAACTTTTCTCTCTCAGAGCACAAACAAAGAGAAATTCAATAAGCACACGCCATGATGCATGTTGGATTTTGTTGACCCAAAAAAAGGACAGTCTCTCGCTCTCTAAGACGACAGTTTATTCTCTCTCTCTGGACCTAAAAAACAGGACAGCCTCCTCTCTAACACATGAAAGTGTGCTCTCTTCTCTCTCTCATTCATTATCAACTTCCATGTAATCTCCTGTGTAACACAAAACCCAAGGGGTGAGAAAATGACAAGGTAATTTGCTTGGAGACCCAGCAAGTTACCTCACCCAACTCTCTCTCTACAAAAACAGGAAAAGAAGGCATTAATTCCATGGGGGGGCTTTAGAGACCAGACCATTGATTTCTGAGCCAGGAGGATTGCAAGGGAGTCAGGAGATAAATCTGCCTATGCTTCACAAGAAGGCAAGCATGTGGGGGTGCAACTCCAAACAATGAAATAAAAGCCTTTGAATCTCTCTTCACTTCTTTGGTTATACTCAATAAGTACGTGGTTTTCATGAGGCCACAACTTCACAAAATTTAGTAAAGCTACACTTCAAAACCCAGCTGAAAAATGTTGTCCTGGAGGTTTTCATGGCTCGGAAATTTGTTTAACTTCTGACACTAGAATTTGAAGCTCCACAACATAACACATTTCTGGCATATCTATGAAAAATGGGCAGCTCAAAAAATGTGTCACAAAACAAACTATCTTTAGTGCCTAAAATCTTTTCTTTTAAGATATACAATTAGGTGGAAATAATTGATTTGAATGTTTTCTTCTTCTTCTTTTTTGGGTTATTTGGTGGGGAAGACAGGCCCTACACATTTTTTCAAATAGTTTAGAAGCTATTTTTTTAAAGTGTTAATAGGGTTGTGTCAGTGGGCATGAAAACTACAACGTGATGACTAGGGTGTGTTGATGCTACCACCACGACTCCAGCCCCTATCCCATTGATTTGAGTATTTTCCAGTGCCGAAGCCGCATTTTTTGGAGTGATTTGAGGTGTGACTTTACAAAGCCATAGCCCATCGAAATACTTTCCCAAACTAAATTTTCAACAGTAATCCCCATCTCATTCCTGAGACAACTATGGATACATATCATAACCAAGGAAAAAGATTTGTCTATCCCACGAACAAATATTTTTGCTTCCGTATCCCTAAAACAAATAGTTGGGGGACCTTTGGCCATCATATAAACTCTTTGAAAGGTTCCAATGATTTAATATGACTAAAAAGAGGGAATCCATTGGCGTTAGACAGAGAAGCATCTGGTTGTCATCCAAATACCATCCTACAAACACATTAAGGACTCAATGATGAATTTAACTACTAAGACAGCATCACTATAATCAGATTAGAAAATTTTAATTCTTCATCAACGTCATCATTAGAAAAATTTAATTCCTGTCCAGATAAAAACATCTTCAATTGGTCCCTCTCGCAAATCTACAAATCTCATTCATTATGCATCAAAAATTGAATCTCCATTATCAAATCCACATTCCTGTCGTTAAAATGAGACTGGAGTCAACCAAAATGCTAGCTCTTAACCAGTGCTTGGAATGGAGGCTTGCGCAACCATCAACCGTTCTGTAACAAGCAATAATCTGTGAAATTTGCAATGGATTATGATGAATGATTCTTATAGTATGTAAAAATGAATCTTCTGATTTTATGTACAAATAACCAGGGGCCACAAGACATGCGATATCTAAACATATAAAGTGTAAAAAGCAATCATATAGAAAACAACGATATGAGTAATAGGCACCTAAACAGCTAGAAAAGTGCACAAGCCACAAATGTATATATAATTTAACTGTGTTCAATGGATGTGTGTTTTTTCCATAATACAATTTCCAACAATTTAGGTGCACAGTTTGCAGGCTTGAACTTGTACTCAAAATGCCCAGCCGCCATGTTTTTGAAGGGCACAACATGGTAATTTGGACGCTAACTTAATATTATAATTAGTAACAATATAAAAAAGACAATTATGAACGTTATATAAATAGCATAAATAAAAATAATAATTGAAGAAAAATGTAAGATATTTATGTATTTATTTATTTTTCTTTTTTTGGTGTTGGTGTGTGGTGGCGAGTGGGTTGTTTGCGGCATGAGAGTAGCTTGAGTCTGGATAAGTTTGTGCTATTTGGCTAAAGACAGGAGGCCTGAACCGATTCAGCAAATGAGCAAACTATGGTTAATAAATTCATCCGCATTATTGGAGCTAAGTTTCTTGAACAAGAGAGCGGAGGAAGTCTTGACCAAAACACACTAGTTTAGAGGCCTCATCATCAAAATCACTCCTTTAAAAAGACTTTGATTGTAGAAAAACTAGAAATCCAATTAAGACATATGAAATCTGTTAAAAACAATAGCTATATGAAAACCCTTAACCAGATGCTAAAGTTGTCTTTGGAGATGTTACAGAGTAAACCAAATATTAATGCTTTTTTTTTTCTCAATGGATATTGTCATATGCTTACATATGATGCATGAGTATCCTTGTTATAATTGTATCATTGCCCAACATTAGATATAATGAATTTTTGTTGTCGGCAACCTCATTACTCAAGTTACACACACAATTGTTACCAATATAAATTGCACTTCCAAATATTCTGCTAAATAGTCAACACTGTAGACATTGTTTTGATAAATCAAGGCTAGAGATCATATTTTCCCTGTTTCTGTACTTGTTCTATTGGTAATAGGCTACTCATCATTTCAAACCTCACATTTAACTTTAGGATAGACACCCCTAAAACTTTACATGCCCACATGCAAACTTATTCTTACTTCCCTCCTCCCCTCCCTCCCTATTACAATTGTTACCAATATAAATTGCACTTCCAAATATTCTGCTAGATAGTCAACACTGTAGACATTGTTTTGATAAATCAAGGCTAGAGATCATATTTCCCTGTTTCTGTACTTGTTCTATTGGTGATAAGCTACTCATCATTTCAAACCTCACATTTAACTTTAGGATAGACACCCCTAAAACTTTACATGCCCACATGCCTACTTATTCTTACTTCCCTTCTCCCCTCCCTACCTGTTAGGTAAACTTTGAAGTCTTATATCTGACAAGTTCTTAAGTAGAAAAAGGAGAAAAAAAAAAACAATCAGTCCCCACTATAAAAATCTGTAAAGTTGAACTGAATTCCCTCAGTAGTAGAAGAGCAATGCCTGAAAGAACGGGCTGATGCTACGTATGAAGGTTAGGTTCATTTCTGATGGTACAGTTCCACCATAACAGGGAATCCTTGTTAAAGAGGTTAGATTCATTGCTGATGGTGAGATTTTGTGACAAATTCTCCTTATGATATATCACTAGAAATTGACTATACATTAAATGCATATCAAAAAAGACTGCTTCCAGTGAAGATTTTTGTGGGTGCATGTCAGAGTGTGATTCAAACACCATGTCCAATGTTCAAATCCCATGGCCAACCTACGCAAAAGAAAGTGCCTTCCTCCACATTAGTCTTCATGAGCAGTCTGCAAGACCTACTAAAAGAATTCACATCACCAACTCATCTCTCTCATATATGTTGACTTGATATATCTATTGGTTTGCTCATGAAGCCCACTGGGCATTACTTGATTTTCATGCAAATTCTTCATTCCTGTTGCTAACGTTGCAGCTCTAAATATTGTTACCAAGTCATTCCATATTTTCTGATCCAACAAATTTATTCAATGCACATCCAAATGTTCAATAATTCTTGCATTATATGTTGAAAGGATTTTTTTCACTACAAATAGTAAGTCAAAGACATCATCATAAATAATGATCTTCAGTTGTTAGCTCACTAAATTCCACATGGTAGATGTGTGCCTCTTCATGCTTCATGTGATCTTCAAACTAAGCACATTCACATATGACTCGGAGGCTTCTCCCCAACAATATTAAGTATAGGTTTCAGGAGAATCACAATAACTACAATACCTAACCTTTACCCAGAACAAAACATTATGTATTTCGTCAATCACGTGCATATGCATTGACCACTAGAGCACATGAAGAGGTGCTCCATTATGAAGCCACATATTTGTGGGGTTTCACAATGTATGGCACATGACAAAGAATTACTTCCAGCTTCGAAAATATATTTCTTCTTCCTTCTATCTAGGAGACAAGCTGCTGCAAAGGATTGGTATCCGTCCAAGACCCCAACTTAACAAAGACCCCAACTTAACACTTAGCTCAAAGGTTTACAGGATACAACCACGCACCAATATATCCCCGCAGGAAGCTCAGCTTGTAGACCAGCAGAAGCATTCCTCTCCACCCTAAATCCCTTTTTGGAATTTTCCCATCTTTAGTGGTTTCAGGCCCGTCTGGTTTTAAAGACTTACCTAACAAGTTTTTTGGACCATCTTGTAAGGCTTCTTTTATTTACTAAACCCCCATCCCCTTCCCCATATAGCATTCTGGTTCTATATAAACTTCTTACTTGTTGTAGTCTGAGCACCCAATCTGTGGGATGCCATCTTTAGATTAAGAACCTTGTAAACATATTTCAAAAATAAACAAATAAAAAATAATATAAATATATATATATATATATATATATATATATAGGGAAATGACCTTGTGAGACCCTCCCACACCCATGTGTGTAGGACCCCAAACGATCACCATTAAATGTGGCACAGATCTCTAGAAAAGTCAAAACCCACACCCATGTGACAACTTCTCTAGAGATCTGTGCCAAATTTAATGGTGATATTTTGGGGTCCTACATACATAGGTGTGGGAGGTTCTCATAGGATCATTACTCATATATATATATATATATATATATATGGAAAAAAGCTTGGGTGAGCCCACTAGCTCATGGAATGTATAAGCCCAACGGCCCAAACTGAATCTGGGCCGATCTGGCGAACACGAATGTCTGGTAGTGTTCGAAATTGAATTTCTTTTTTCCACAAATCCAAATCACTTGAAATTTTAAACACGTGTTCTTCTCATCAAGCCGTATCTAATAAAAATATAAAAAAAATAATTCGTGCAAAAACAATTGACCAAAATACCCCTGAAAAGTATTTTGGCCAATTTATTTCATGTAAAATATTTTGGGGGTATTTTGGCAGATTTATTTCATGTAAAATATTTGTTTGATATTTTTTTAAGATTCACCTATTTTTGATATACATACGCTCCAATTTCAAGTAATTGGATTTGTAGAAAAAAAAATTAAATTACAAACACTACCAGACATTCCGTGAACGTCAAATCGGCCCAAATTGTTAGGGCTCATT